AAGGTCATTAAAAAGACAGGAAAGAAAGAAAAGACCAAAATGGATGTAGAAGAGACTCTGAAACTTGCTCTTGAAAGTAGAGTAGCTAAAGCAAATGCAAGAAATGATGAAGTAAAAGAGCTGAACAGAAGATTTCAAAGGGCGGCTATAGAAGACAAAGTAAAGTATTATAATGAAATGTGCAAAGGCCTGGAGTTAGAAAACCGAAAGGGAAGAACATGCTCAGCATTTCTCAAGCTAAAAGAACTGAAGAAAAACCTCAAGCCTCGGGTTGCAATATTGAAGGATTCTATGGGCAAAATATTGAACGACTATAAAAATGGCGTGGGGGTGGCATCTGATCTCCTCTAACTTCACAAGTGGGAAGGAGAATCAAGATCAACAGCCCAAGGATGATTCCTATGAGGCAGATGTCAGACATGCCTCTTCTCTCCACCATCTTTACCAATTCTGACTCCAACCGTCTCTCCCATGGCACTCTCTACTTCTCTGCTGCGTTCAATAATTCATTGCAATGGCCACACAGAACTCACAGACAATATTCATGATTATGGGTTTTATTAGGGAAGTAACAGGTTACAATTCAGGCTCAGGAACACTCAGGATACAGTTCTTCCATCAGGACAGCCTCTTTTCAGCTGTGCTTGAAGGCACACCTCTCTCTGGCTCTAGGCCTCTTCCCTGCTCAGTCAAGTTTTATAAAGCTCTTTTAGCCCCTGCCAATGAGTCCCCAGGCACCCCAGGCACTCAGCCTTCTTGCTCCGTGGGCCGGGAAGGCCACTGTATGGTCTCCTGCCAGTCTCTACTGCCACCGCTTCTCACCATCTTCAGGGTTACAGCTCTCTGTCTCTCTCAGCCTTGTGGTTCCAGGAGCTTCTCAGCACAGGGATCCTGGGTCCAAAAGACATGCTCTCTGCTCCTGTTCTTCTCCGCTATTCTTTCTTGGTGGTGGTGGGATTCTCTCTGTCCTGCCTCTGGGATGGCTCACCTCAAGCCCAGCGGGAGGGCAAAACTGACCAATCCCTTTTGTGAGCCACAATTACTCTATCTGCACAGTCCCGCCCAGTCACTTGGGTGGGAGTTAGAAGACCATGGCAAGAAAGTCCACACGAAAACGATCCATTGACCACAATGATGCAGGAAGAATCAAAAGAAGGTGAAAGGAATACACAGAGTCACTGTTCCAAAAATAATTGGTAGATGTTCAACCATTTCAGGAGGTAGCATATGATCAATAACTGATGGTATTGAAGGAAGATGTCCAAGCTGCACTGAAGGCATTGGCAAAAAACAAGGCTCCAGGAATTGACGGAATACCGATTGAGGTGTTTCAACAAACGGATGCAATGCTGGAAGTGCTCACTCGCCTATGCCAAGAAATCTGGAAGACAGTTAACCTGGCCAGGCGACTGGAAGAGATCCATATATGTGCTCATTCCAAAGAAAGGTGATCCAACAGAATGCAGAAATTATCAAACAATATTATTAACATCATACACAAGTAAAATTTTGCTGATCATTCAAAAGCGGTTACAACAGTACATTGACAGGGGACTGTCAGGAATTCAAGCTGGCTTCAGAAGAGGATGTGGAATGAGGGGTATCATTGCTAATGTCAGATGGACCTTGACTGAAAGCAGAGAATACCAGAAAGACGTTTGCCTGTGTTTTATTGTCTATGCAAAGGCATTCAACTGTGTGGATCATAACAAATTAGGGATAACATTGCGAATAATGGGAATTCCAGAACACTTAATTGTGCTCATGCAGAACCTGTACATAGACGAAGAGGCAGTTGTTCAAACAGAACAAGGGGATACTGCATGGTTTAAAATCAGAAAAGGTGTGTGTCAGGGATATAACCTTTCACCATACTTATTCAATTCTGTATGCTGAGCAAATAATCTAAAAATCTGGACTATATGAAGAAGAACTCAGCATCAGGATTGGAGGAAGACTCCTTAACAACCTGTGATATGCAGATGACACAGCCTTGCTTGCTGAAAGTGAAGAAGACTTGAAGCACTTACTGATGAAGATCAAAGTCTACGTCCTTCAGTATGGATTATACCTCAACATAAAGAAGACAAAAATCCTCACAACTGGACCAACAAGAACATCATGATAAATTGAGAAAATATTGAAGTTGTCAAGGATTTCATTTTACTTGGATCCACAATCAATGCCCA